TTTCCGTGTGAACTCAACTTGTGTTTATGGAACTGGCCGTTGCTGTTCTCAGGCTGCTTCGCGCCATTTCTAATCTGTGACCTGACGAGGGAAATGAGCTCATTGGTTTGAACCTTGTTTGAAGTTCCTTTAATACACCGTCCCTGGCTCTTGTAGTTATTCCGAACAATCTCTGTATGTTCATGATCAACCAAGCTTTGGAAATAAATCTTGCTTCTTTTGAACGTGGGTCTATTCTCCTGATTTGGGATCTAACAGATGTGCGATTGGCTATTCCAGGGTGCCCCATTTGAACTGTCTATATCTTTGGACTTTCCTGCCAGAATCTCAGTTCTGACACAGTACTGTTCTAACCTGGATCATGCTGATATCTCAATAAACAAATCACTGCCAAATTTCCTGCATGACTTCTAAGTGTCCTGCAAAGATTTCCATCTGATGACTTGAAATATGCTTCAAACTGCAGCCTTTGAAATGCTTACTTCCCAGTAATCCCCTTCAACTTTACCGGTATTATATTCAGTGTGTGCCTGCCCCGAGGTGGAGCTGCGGTTTCCCACTTTCCTCCCTGACATCAGCCAAGCTGCCAGCTCTGACTAATGGCTGCTGGGCAGAGGCGACACTGACCCGTCAGAGGGCGGAGCCAGGAGAGCCTGTGGGATAGGAAAAGGAGGAAGAGGGCGTGGGGGTCCTCCATTTGCAAGGGGGGTCCCCCTGCCCTGTTTCCCAGAAAACGTGGGAGGGAGGTCCAAAGCAGTGTCCAGAAAAAGGACTGCGCCCAGAGTATGGCTGCTGTCCCAGACAGAGCAAGCAGAGCAGGGCTTTGTGGCTGGCGAGGGAGAGGCAGGGCAGGGGGTGGGTTCATCAGCAGGCCAGCGCACTCCTGAAGGTGGCGCTCTAGGCAATTGGCTAACTTGTCTATATGGATGCACCGGCCCTGGGAGTTAGTAAGATTGTGTCCTCTCTCTTTTTCCATTTGCACCACAGTTTCTGAGCAGATTCACAACAGGTACAGGTGCAGAAGGTGCAGTATATCTGAGCAGTGGGCATTTGGAAGTTCAGAAACAGTACTCTTAAAAGTACACAGGTATTGGTGTACTACCCTTTCCCCCATTTTACACAGATGTCGTTCCAGGAGTACTGTGGCAGGTGTATAGAAGTGAGGAACTGGAAACCTTCCCTTGTGTAGAAACGACACATTACCACACTGGCTTCAGTGCCTTGCATACTTGGAAAAGCAACATCTCTCGCCACGGTTTTCTGTTAAAAAGGTTGAAAGGAAATTATTCATGGTCATAGAATCATAGAGTTGGAAGGGGCCATACAGACCACCTAGTCCGACCCCCTGCCCAATGCAGGCCCAGCCTAAAGCATCTCTGACAAATGTTCCTCCAGCCTCTCCTTGAAAGCTGCCAGTGAAGGGGAGCTCACCCACCTCCCTGGCAGCTGATTCCACCTTTCAACCCCTCTGACTCTGAAAACGTTTCCCCTTATATCCAGCCCATACCCTTTCTGCATGTCATTGGGTCCCGTCCTCTGCTGCCAACTGGTAAAAGACAAGAATGTCCACATTGCTATAATCAGGGCTCATCTTCCCGCGGGAGCCCAGGGGGCGGGCACATGCAATTAGCAGCCCTCAGTCGGGCCGTGAGGGGCAAGAAGCAGCCAGATAGGTTGCAGAGGGCCCCCCCCCCCGCCCCCCTTCAGGGCCAAGCTCTCCCTCCTCTGCCAGGTCTCCTACCGCCCC